GTATGTCTCTCGCATATCTTAGTCCACTTCTTGAACCCATTGACAGAGCATTGTGCAGTAAAGATTGCTGCTGCTGCTAAGAGAGACGGGGGGAACCTAAGCATTTCATACTCGAAGAGGCACAGCTTAACGATAAAGAAGGACAGAAGCTCCAACTAGTCATCAGAAGATTATTGTCAGTTATTAGGCAGATCAAGATAGTGCAAAAAATTCACATACACTAAATACGAAACAATACCTTTTTATTAGATTGAGCAGCTTTAAGAAAGCGCCTCATGAAGACATAAGGAGTAGGCACTGAAAGATTAAACTGCAAGGTATTGATCATTAAGCTCTCCTGCAGCAAGTCACAGTTCAATTTTAGTTATATGACAAAGGAAACCTTCATATATCAAAGATCAACTCATAGACAATAGACGTCATAACAAACCTACTATCTCAAGCATGTCATTTCTGGAGTAAGCCATGTCAGAAATCAATATGAGGTCTTCAACGACAGGAACAGAAACTTCTTCATACTTACAAGCCAGAAGCATTGCTGTCACTCCAACAAGTTGAAGTTTCTTGCGTACCACAGAGACTGTTTTTAAGAACCTATCTATTAGATTGAAAGTTAAATACAAGGTCTCATCCATCAGTTCAAACTTGTAATGCACCTGTACATTCAGAACTACAGTGTTAGCCGCAACCTTTTTCTTACTTCTGACAGTTCAGAATTTGTAGGAATGCCAAAGTAATGTGAAATTATTTCTTTACCTCTATCAGCCAATCAATAAGAATGCCCCCTCATCCTCTCATTGATGTCAAATTGCCGTGCCATGTAGTTAGATGGGACACAGCTAGATATCTACATGCGAATAATGAAATAAAACTGAAATAAAGATAAGAGTCTGTCGGCAAATGAGGGATCAAATATCTGCAAATCTTTTTTTTTTTTGGGGCAAAAGCCGCAAGACATTACTGTCACTTCTTTCAAACACTACCATATATCACAATTAAGAACTGGTTGTTACTTTTTTTTTCCTCTTAAGCAGGAATTAGAAGAAATCTGTAAAGACAACAGTGCTCAATTCGAGTAGCAGTTAGCAAAGATGCTTCAGTTTTTTTTTTTGAGGTAAAGACCCCTTTTATTTTATTGCCCGTAACACAAACCTACAAATTGAGCATAGGCCGGTCACGCAGACAGTCCTTTAATAAGTCTAAGAGAAGGAAAACCTAGTTTGTCCATCCTGACTGCCTCTCTACCTAGCTGTGGAAGGGTGTATGCTTGGTCATAAACTCTAATCGGGTCATGCGGATGCAAGAGACTCAATGATGCTTCTATTAAATCAAGTGAATTAATTCAAATTGAATAAACTAGGTTCTCTCTTTCACTGGCCTATCAACATGTATCCTTGTAAGACTCTTTCACATGAAGTATCTGGTGACATGAGATTTATCTGTAATCACTTTTCTAAGATTCACCAGTTTCTCGGTTATCTACTTGACATTTTATCGAACAGGTTATGGGCAACAAATCCGTAACAAAATAGTCGCACGAATCAAGTAGACAACCGAGAGGAATAAAGCTGAACAACAAATGCACTCAAATCATAAACTATTACTACATCTATTTCAATCTCAAACAGATGGGACTAATTCTAAATGTAATCAATTTAGGGCAAACTTTAAAACTTAACCCTCACAATTCAACACAATACAATACACAGTTTCAAGAATAGCTAATAATGTCCAATAAAATCTCAAGAAAAAAAGGGAACAACTTGAAGAATGGAAAACTTCTTTACGGTGACATTTAGCAAAAGCATTATCTAATTGCTCACAAAATAAAAAAAAATTACCATGCAATTACATACCTTCAATGGGAAAATAAGGAAAGTTTGTTTGCAGGGAGATTTGGCAAAAAAAAACTCCAAGTGTTTTGGCGTTCGAGATAATTTGCAGAGGATAGTTTGTCGCGGAGAGAGTGTTTCTTGTGAGAGAGATAAGAAGAAGCAAAAAAGAAGCAAAATCTAATTCCAAAACTTAACCCTGCAACACTCAAGAGCGCCTAACAATGTCACATGAGTTGAAGTACTCGAGCATGTACAAAAGGAATGCCCACTTTTTCTTTTATTTTCTTTAGGGTTAATTTAACATACCTCCTCTGAGGTTTTTGACAATTACAGAAAGCTCCCCTCAAGTTCTAAACTCCACTGCTATGGAGTACGATCTTGATTTATTTTATCAGTTCCCAATTTGTGTGATGTTATTCTAATTTTCCATTGCTTTTAGTGGTGCAAGTTGATGCGGAGGAAACAAAACACAAAAACTTCCATTCACCTGCAGATGTTGCTAAAAGCACAGCAGTTTCATTCTTCGTATTTCTGAGCAAGTTCAGTAAAGGTATTAAAGTTTTGTGTCTGCTTTATCTTTTTTTATAACTTTAATTTGTTTTGGGGGAAAATAATGAAACAGTAAATGATATTAGTTCTTTTGCCACTAAGTTGGTTTTCCAAACAACTTTTTACTTTTCCAACATGTTATCTCACTTAAAGTACATCAAGAAAAAAATACTACACCATTATTCTGTAAGTAAGGTTTCCAACTATACTTCATTTCAATGCAAACGTAAATCTTTTGCATACTTACTTGTCTTGTCTTTCTACTTGACGCACGAATAAGGGAGCTGTCGGAAATAAAGAACTTAGACTTGTAGATTTTGTCTGCGAGGAGATAGAAGAGAAAGATATCAATTTTGTTCAGGAATACTTCTTCCCCAATGACAATACCCCTAACTTACACTTAGCCATAGAGCATGGAGTTTTTCAACTTGTACAAGAGTGTTTAAATCGTTTTCTTGATCTAATTTGGTATGCAGACAAACATACCGAACGGTTGTTATTGCATGCAGCTATTGAGCATCGTCGTCGAGTGGAGATATTCAATCTCATGGTTGCTTTGATCGGAAAAAACACAAAGGCCCATGCCCATTTAAACGTTGAAGGGGCAAATAATTGCCTTCATTTGGGAGCAAAATTGGCTTCTATGCCTCGACTCCATTCTGTCCCTGGTCTTGCATTTCATATGCAGCGAGAATTGCAACGGTTTGACATTGAGTAGCAGCAGTGTTGATTAGACGTGCAAAGATGGCAATTATGTGAAGGAGAAATAAGAAATGAAAAAAAAAAGCATAAAGACATTGTAAATTAATTATTATATAATGATGAAAATGACTTTACACAAACTGGAATTAAAATAGTAATTGATATGGAAGAGGTCATAGATTCTGGAATAGAATCCTCAAGAAATGCCGATTTGTAAGTAAACCGGGAATGAGGATCAAGAACACAAAGGAAATATATTCCAAAGCTACCTTCTGTCCAAAGTCACAAATACTCTGACCAAATTGATGATGGAACTTGTTACATATTCTGAACATGAAGTGACCTGTTAACTGCTAGCGTAAAACAGCACTTAACATGGCAAAACGGTTTTACTAAAACCCGTCTAAAACGGCAGACCATCTCTCATCGCTCAATTTCTGAAGAGAGTTTTTGATTACTCTATCTGCCTGTATTCTATCACAAGGCTAGCCTGGAATCCATATGTTCACAAGGGAAGAATATTCATCCTTACAGCGTATTCTTAAACTAATCACTGCAGCTCCCGGTGGCTTGCTTGATAATCTGCCAAGTTTTTTGCATGGCCAGACAAAAGATAAAGGGTGAGAACCGAGAAATGAATGCAGCAATCACTCAATAGATTCTCTTAAAGCTAGTGTAGTATGCTGGTGATAAAGTTGCATTGCAGAAACCAGTCAATCCCAGAAAAGAGCAAATTAATGTACTTTTTTGTCCTATGTTTCTAAACTTTATTCCAGGCTTATCTAATGACGCCAATACAGGAGACATTCCTTAAGTAAATTAGAGACAATCATCACTTAAAATTAACTAAAAATTTAAACTTCTGAACCAAAATAATTTTTCTCTTACGATTGTGAACCAGCCTTCTCTTTGGCCCCTGGCAGTATTAGATTAATTTTCTTATATTATGCGGCTCATGTCACGGCGTCTTGATTGATAATCCACCAAAACTTCCGACCTGCCCAGAGGCCCCAGTTCAGAAGAAAAGGGTGAGAACTGGAAAAAATGAACGTACCAGATTCCTAGACAATTCCTAAAGCTAGTACTATGCTTTTGCCCTATCCTGTGTCTCTTAAATTTCAATCCACGCTTAGTAAATTACTTTAATACTGAAGACTATCCTCATTTTGTTTAGAGACAATATAACTTAATCTTCGTACACCCAAATTATCTTTTTTTTTTTGTAACTCTATGTCGCATAAAATATTCAAATAAAATTCTTTATAGATCTACACCTTAATCAATCTATCCTACCCATTCTTAAGTTCCTAGTGTATATGGAATTACTTCATTATCTAGTACTAAATCAATGAGTAGGCAAAAGATAATTAAAAAAGATAATTAAGCTAATAAGAAAAGCTTTCATCATGTTGGAATAATTCATCATCTCAGATGCTGACTAATCCTTTCATCCATAAACATCAAAATACTAAAAGAAGGAAAAAACAGAACATCCCCTGCCATGATTATGTGGTGACCAGACAAAATTAAAAGCTCTTTTTGTTTTTGGAATACTCTTTTTATCAGCAAAATCTAATTCCAAAACTTAACCCTGCAACACTCAAGAGATCATTCCCAACAATGTCACATGAGTTGAAGTACTTTTGATTCGAGCATGTAAAAAAACGAAATCAGCAAAAGTACTTATCATGTACTTTTGATTCGAGTATAGTTGCACATCATCACGCGGGCACGTCATGACTGAAGGACACCTATAAATCAGCAAAAACGAAAACTGAAACCCAAAATCAATCGAATTCAAGTAGAACACATCTAAACTACCACACGAAATTGAACAAACAATTAAAAGGAACAATTGGGTTGCCTCCCAAGGAGCGCCTTTCTTTAATGTCTTTGGCTAGACATGGTAAAGTGTCACTGATTAGGACACGGTGGTGCGTCTAGCCGCATTGTCTCCACCTCTCTACCTGAAAATCCTTCGTAATAATATTTGAGACGGTGTCCATTCACCACAAATTTGTTGTCTGTCTTAGCACTTCGGATCTCAACTGCACCATATGGAAAAACGTGAGTAACAATAAAAGGTCCAATCCAACGGGAACGTAGCTTACCTGGAAATAGCTTGAGCCTTGATTGGTATAGGAGGACCTTCTGACCAACTTCAAATGTTTTCCTTGAAATTTGTTGGTCATGAAATGTTCGGCTTCTCTCCTTATAAATTAATGCATTTTCGTAGGCTTCGTTCCGAATCTCCTCCAATTCTTGCAAATCCAACTTCCGTTGGGCACCGGCCTCCTCTAGATTCATGTTGCATTGCTTTATCGCCCAAAAAGCCTTGTGCTCAAACTCTACTGGAAGGTGACACGGCTTCCCAAATACCAACCTGTACGGTGACATCCCTATAGGAGTCTTGTACGCCATCCGATAGGCCCAGAGTGCGTCCTCCAACCTTTGGCTCCAGTCTTTCCTATCAGGGCGCACCATTTTATCTAAAATGGACTTAATCTCCCGATTCGACACCTCTGCTTGACCATTGGTCTGAGGGTGGTATGATGTTGAGACCCTGTGGAGTACACCATACTTGCGAAACAACGCAGCTATGGTTCTGTTGCAGAAGTGCGTTCCCCTATCACTGACAATAGCTCTTGGCATTCCAAATCGCACAAAAATATTAGACCTGATAAAATCTGCAACTACTTTCGAGTCATTAGTTCGAGTGGCCTTAGCCTCCACCCATTTAGACACATAATCAACTGCCAGCAAAATATATATAAAACCAAAAGAAGTAGGAAAAGGCCCCATGAAATCTATACCCCAAACATCAAAAATTTCAACAAAAATCAACGGGACTTGGGGCATTTGATCTCTACGGGCTATATTACCTACCCTTTGACAGCGATCACATGACTTACAAAACACATAGGCATCCTTAAACAATGAAGGCCAATAAAATCCACTTTCTAAAACCTTATGAGCAGTTCTCTTGGGTCCAAAATGACCTCCACAGGCAAAAGTATGACAAAAAGCTAAAATTGATTGAAATTCCATTTCACTTACACATCTCCGCATCACTTGGTCTGCACACCTCTTCCATAGGTACGGGTCATCCCAGATGAAGTACTTGGCGTCGCTCTTCAATTTATCCCTCTTCGACTTTGGCCAACCTGCAGGAAAATTACCAGTTACCAAATAATTGACCAGATCAGCATACCAAGGCAATTGAGAATTTAAAGAAAATAAATGCTCTTCAGGGAATGCATCCCTCAATGGTTCCTTATCCTCTCCAACGGGTATACGACTCAGATGGTCAGCTACTAAATTCTCTGAGCCCCTTTTATCCCTTATTTCCAGGTCAAATTCCTGTAGTAGCAATATCCACCTGATGAGCCTTGGCTTTGCATCTTTCTTGGTCATCAGGTACCTTAATGCTGCATGATCAGAAAATACAATCACTTTAGCACCTAACAGATATGACCTGAATTTTTCTAGAGCAAAAATAACTGCAAGCAGCTCCTTCTCAGTAGTGGAGTAATTCAACTGGGCCCCATTCAGGGCGCGGGATGCATAATAGATAACGTGAGCTGCCTTTCCCATTCTTTGCCCCAACACAGCCCCTACAGCATGATCACTGGCATCGCACATGATCTCAAATGGTAGACTCCAGTCAGGGGGCTGGATGATTGGGGGTGAGGTCAACAACTCTTTCAACTTGTCGAAGGCTTTCTCACATTTGGCATCGAATTCGAAGGTCACCTCCTTTTGTAGGAGTTGGAACAACGGGGCTCCAATTTTTGAAAAATCCTTGATGAACCTCCGGTAAAAACCTGCATGTCCAAGAAAAGAGCGTACCTCCCGCACACTAGCGGGGTAAGGCAAAGCAGATATAATATCTATTTTAGCCCTGTCAACCTCGATGCCCTTAGACGATACAATATGACCCAGGACTATCCCGTGCTCAACCATAAAATGACATTTTTCCCAATTAAGCACAAGATTAGTCTCTATACACCTTATCAGGATCAATTTCAGGTTATCTAAACATGTATCAAAACTATCACCATACACACTGAAATCATCCATGAAAACTTCAATTATTTTCTCCACATATTCAGAAAAAATACTTACCATACACCTCTGGAATGTTGCAGGTGCATTGCACAACCCGAATGGCATTCGTCTATAGGCAAAGGTCCCGAACGGGCACGTGAAGGTTGTCTTCTCTTGATCCTCTGGTGCAATTGCTATCTGAAAATATCCTGAAAATCCATCCAAAAAGCAATAGTAAGCTCTACAAGCTAAACGTTCAATCATTTGGTCAATGAAAGGAAGAGGGAAATGGTCCTTTTTGGTGACGGCGTTCAGCCTGCGGTAGTCAATACACTGCCTCCATCCAGTGGGTTTCCGCACTGGCACGAGTTCACCCGTTTGGTTGGCCTCTACCGTCACTCCTGCCTTCTTTGGGACTACCTGGACCGGGCTCACCCAAGGGCTATCTGATATTGCAAAAATAATCCCCACATCTAACAATTTCAAAATTTCCTTCTTCACCACCTCCATCATGAGGGGGTTAAGCCTCCTTTGAGCCTGTCGTACAGGTTTGGCATCCTCATCTAGTCTAATCCGGTGCATACAGATGGCCGGGCTGATCCCCTTAATGTCCGCAATTGTCCAACCTATCGCTTCTTTATGCTCTCTAAGGACCCGGATCAGTTTCTCCTCCTGGGTTTTTGACAGTGCCGATGAGATAATCACCGGGAGTGTCTCATTATCACCCAGATATGCATATTTCAGGTGCTCTGGTAGAGGTTTCAACTCCAGTACAGGTGCCTGCACCACAGATGGCAATACCCTCTGGTGAGGTTCGGGAGTAAAAATAGGTAAGACTTCATACCTTTTCGTGGTGGTCTGCAATGAGTGTAATGCACCTATTGTGCATTTTAGATCTTCACTCCACTCCACCTCAGGAGTTGTCTCCAACTCGAGGTGCTTGGTCAAAGCTACCTCCAACTCATCCCTGCCAACAGTTTCAAATACTTCCTGCACCGCAGGGTCAATAGCACTCACAGAGAAAACTGAGCTAAAGTTGGAGTTTGAGAGATATTTCATAGTATCAAAGATATTAAAGTGCACAGTTTCCCCATCAAATTCCATGGATAAGGTACCCTTATTAACATCAATTTTTGTTTGTGTTGTGCTCATAAAGGGTCTACCTAACAACAAAGGTGAGGGATCGGTGGAGTGGTCATCATCCATATCAAGTACATAAAAATCAGCTGGAAACACCAAATCATTTACTTTTACCAACACATCTTCAACCAACCCATCAGGATATGCATTAGTGCGGTCAGCTAATTGAATGATTATTCCAGTTTCTTTTAATGGACCTAGCTTTAAAGAAGCATATATAGATTTAGGCATGACATTAATTGATGCTCCCAAGTCCAACATGGCCCTTCTAATCACAGTGTTCCCTATCCTACAGGGGATAGTAAACATACCTGGGTCCCCGCACTTGGGTGGAAACTTTCTCTGCAGGATCGCTGACACATTCTCCCCAACAATGACCCTCTCATCTCCCCTCAACCTCCTTCGGTTAACACACAAGTCCCTTAGGAATTTGGCATATTTTGGTACTTGTTTGATCGCGTCTAACAGGGGGATATTTATCTCAACCTTGCGAAAAACCTCCAAAATCTCCTTTTCCTTATCCTGCTTCTTCGATTTTTCCAACCTGCTAGGAAAAGGAGGCGGGTTAGTTTTAGCTGTAATTACTGGGTCAGGAAGTACCTTTGGGTCTGCACCATTGCTGTCCTCCCTTTCAAGCTCATTTTCGATCTTTTTCTCATCCTTATCCTTAGGGATCACAGGTTCAGGCCCCTGAATTTCCTTCCCGCTCCTCAGGGTCATGGCGCTCACATTCTTCGGGTTCAACTCAGGTTGAGATGGCAGCTTCCCTTGGTTCTGGGAATCCAAACGGTTGATTGTTGTGGCCATTTGACTTATCTGATTCCTTATATCCTGCATTTCGGAGTCCGTCCTTTGCTGATTTTGCACCATGGTTGTCATCATTTGTTGATTTTGCGCCATGGTTGTCATCACTTGTTTCATCATCTCCTCCAAAGATGGACCAGAACTTGGGGGCGGAGGTGGTCGGGATTGGTATTGCTGCTGGTACCCTGGTGGCTTATTTGGCACAAAGTTAGACTGCCTGTTCGGTGTAAAGTTGGGTTGCCTATTCCCTCCATAACTGAGGTTGGGATGATCTCTCCACCAGGGGTTGTAGGTGCTTGAGTAAGGGTCGTACTGCTTCCTTGGCGCGGGCGCGTGGTCAGCCATGTTCACCTGTTCTGCAGTTTCTTCCTGAATCATTGGGCACATATCTGCAGAGTGACCTATACCAGTGCAAATCCCGCATACCCTGGCTTGTGATGCATTTCTCACAGCCTGTTGCCTAACAAACGCAGTCAACTCAGTTAGCTGCTGCTGCATGGAGGGTGTCTCTACCTCATTCACCCTGCGTATTGGACAATCCTCTCTCGTACCGAATTGTTGTGAATTCTCTGCCATCCTCTCTATCAACTCCCGTGCTTCTTGAGGGGTTTTGTTCACCAGTGCCCCTCCACTTGCAGCATCAATTATGCTCCTGTCCCCGAAAAGGAGCCCCTCATAAAAATACTGAATGAGCAACTGCTCACTTATCTGGTGCTGGGGACACTTGTGCAACAAGAAGTTGAACCGTTCCCAATACTCATAGAGCGACTCCCCTGGATGCTGCTTGATCCCACAAATTTCTTTTCTTAGACTTGCAGCCCTGGACGCAGGAAAATATTTATCCAAAAATTTTTTCTTCAATTGGTCCCACGTGGTGATGCTACCTGGTGACAGGTAGTACAGCCAGTCCTTTGCAGAATCCTTCAAGGAAAAGGGAAATGCCCTCATTTTTATCTGCTCTTCTGTAATGCCCGGGGGCTTCATACTGTTGCACACGACATCAAACTCCTGCAAATGCTTATACGGCTCCTCACCTGGTAAACCATGAAAAGAGGGTAAAAGAGAAATCAGACCAGATTTTAACTCAAATGAAGTGTTTTCACTCAAACTCGGGAAAGTAATGCACAAAGGCTGCTGATTTAAATTAGGGGCAGCCAACTCCCTTAATGTTCGTGCATTAGCCATGGGAATTTCTTCTTGCTCCAAGTCACTCGAAGTGCCACCAAATGAATCTGTTGGTTCGACTCCTGACTCAGGTCTCTGAGATGTAGCACTAGAGTGCTCCTCTCTGAGCTGTCTGGTTTCCTTTCTCGTTCTACGCGCGGTCTTCTCTACCTCAGGGTCAAAAATCAAATCACCTGTACGAGAAGATCGAGGCATACACTAGAAGAAAACCAGAAGATTAGGACAAAAAATGAATTTAAAAAGAAACAAATAATAACGCCAGTCCCCGGCAACGGCGCCAAAAATTGACAGGTTGTCGAAGCCTGTGCAATAATAAAACCTGCTCGAACTAAAAGTAATTTCTGTAGATAGCGGTAAGCAGGGTCGAATCCACAGAGACTGGGAGTAATTGTTTCTTTTCAAATTCACAGTGACAAAAAGGGGGGTGTTTTTGTGTAGAAGGTGACACTCAAAGAAGTCCAAATAAAATCTAAGAAACTACTAAAAATTAAATAACAAAATATTAAAATCAAATGAGTAATAATTAAGGATCTAGCCAAGAAATAACTTCAGCAATGGTTCACCTAATTGATCATCGATGCAGAGCCAATTCCAATTATTTACCAATAAATAGGTTATAACTACCAAACAAGCGATGGCACTCAACCCCTCCTTACTGTGCCGGTGATCAAGGTACGCCCGTTAATCACTGCTCTAATTGAGAAATAATCCTAGGTACGCCCGTAGAATTTAATTCCCCAATTGCCTTACGTATTAGAGGAGCCCTATTCTAACCAAACAACACACTACCAGGGTTATTTTAGATTAGCCCGCGTATCCCCCCTGACACGAATCTAATCGTGTCAGTTGCCACTATTTTGAGGTAATTAAACAATTACGGATTCAATACCCCAATTGACAATAGATTACCAAATCAATTAATTATCTGGATCCAAGACAATCAACTAATTAAATAACCATAAGCATACTAATCAGAGAATACACGAATACCAATAAATAAAAGGGAAAGATTAAATTAAATCGATCTCACAGTTTTCAGGTGACCCAAAGCATCCGTCGTTTCTTGACTAGAACGAGGGGATTAGCTCATATTGGATGAACTAAGCCCGCGGGAAATTTCAGCAGAAGTCACGGCCATTGTATGCATTTCAAGAGCCGCAATTCGTCAAACACTTAGAAAGCAAATGTAAGGCACAGGTAAGAATTGAAGCCCTTTCTTGTTCCTAGCATCCGCAGAGCAAAATCATTCACAAGGTGCAAGAAGGAAAAGTCAAAGAAAGCTGACAAAAAGCTTCCTCCTCACATTCGTACATGTCTTAAGCCAAAAAGTAAAGTACAAGGGAAAAGTCAACAATTTTCTTTGCTAAGCTAAAGACGAAAAGCTAAGAATTAAGCCAGCCCCCATCTGATCCTCCTTTTCTTCCCTTTATTGCGGCAGCTCACAGCAGGAAGAGAAGCCCTCCGTCAGTCATTCCTTTGCGAAAATTACCAAAATGGGCGTGACATCTCCTGTTCCAAAAGTGCCCCTGGGACAAGCTTTATCATCTGAATTCTTTTCCTGTCAATTTGGTACCTGTTATCATATTTTCGTTCTACTCCCTGAAATATATGTAAATTAAGGAAAATGAGTAGAATCCAGCAATTAATCCACATCAAGTCAGGTAACAGGGGAAAATAATAATAAAATAAATAGATAAATTTTAGCCTATCACTCAAATTCGTTTTTGAGGAATATAGTGAATCAGTTAATGATATTAGTTCTTTTACCACTAATTTGGGTTGCAAATAATGTTTGGTCCTGTACAGTGGTTAATGCTCCGGCATTTCTTAAGCTTGGATTCTTTGAATTCTCATGGTCTTCATTTTTTTTTTCAATTTCCAACTTCAGGTATTGACTACTCAAACCTGGATTTTTTTTGGAATATTCACGATTTTTCATTTCTTTCTCAGTTATTAGTACGTAGATTACTGTAGCTAAACTCCTACAAATTTATGTGAATGGGTTGGCCATTTTTTAGAAAACTTTTATATTATTTCTTAAACACTGTTGTCCAACCAAAATTTTACTTTTCCAACATATTATCTCTCTATAGTACATCACTAAAATACGACACCGTTATTCTTAAATAAGGTTTCCAAATATACTAAATTTCAATTTAAACGTAAGTCTTGTCGACGCTTACATGTCTGGTCTTTCTATTTGTTGCAGAAATAAGGGAGGTGTCCAAAATAAAGGAAAGGCACCTGCAAGCACTTGGGATTGTAGAGTTTGTCTGCGAGCAGTTAAAAAAGGAAGAAGATATCAATTCTGTTCAGGAATACTTCATCCCTGATAATCATACCCCAATCTTGCACTTAGCCATAGAGCAAGGAGCTTTTGAACTTGTAGAAGTGTTTAAATCATTTTTCTGATCTAATTTGGTATGCAGGAAGAAACACCAAACGGTTGTTATTGCACGTGGCCGTCGAGCATCGCCAAGTGAAAATATTTAATCACATAATAGAGTTGATCGGAAATAATACAAAGGCCTTTGCCGAATTACAAGCTGATAAGGGAAATAATATCCTTCATTTGGCGGCAAAATTGGCTTCTACATCTCAAGTCGCTTCTGTGCCAGGTCCTGCATTTCAGATGCAGCTAGAATTCCAATGGTTCAAGGTACGTAATGCCTTGTTGTAGTAATTCTATTTTAAACCGTCTTTACAAAACCTTGGATTAGTCTCCTTTGCATGCAAGTTTCTTGCTTAACCAAGCCGTGGCATATATCATACTTCTAAATAGTACGTTTTGGATCTTTTAATCGTACTTTTTCATATCACATCTACATTACACCATATTTTAGTATGATAGTTGCCTGCATGACCCTAATGGCTTCTGGATATAAACTAAAAAGGCAAGTGTCGCCTTAAAATATATGGTGTAACAAAAACAAATGCCAGAAAGTGTAATAGTGTACCCAAAACTAAAGCCTTCTGTTACGTAGCGTCCTTGGTTTTCTCATTTTGTGTTATGATGGTTATTTCGCTATAAATTATTTGCCCAGTGCACATAGAAACCTAGTATTAGCAATTAGAGTGCATATAGAAACCTAGGCTAATCCTCTAATTAACTGCATGCAGGCCGTGGAAGCAATAGTCTATTACGAGTTAAGGATAAAAAAGAATGACAAAGGAAAAACTCCTCGAGAATTATTCTCTGATACCCATGAAAAGTTGCTAAAGAATGCAAAGGGATTGACGAAGGATTTATCAAACTCGTGCATGGTGGTAGCTACTCTGGTCGCAACAGTTGCATTTGCTGCTATGATCACCGCACCCGGTGGCAATGATAGTGAGGAGAAATTTCCAAATTTGTGGTGAATTTTAAAAAAATTCTACAAAAGGGGTGATTTTGGTGAGATATTCCGTAGGGGGGTCTTCGCATTCGAGGAATGCGAACTCAGCAGAGGCCAGTAAAATTTTTGTGCTTTTTTTTTCGGAGGCAGAGATCTTTTTGTATTAAAACAAAATGTTTAAAGATCTCGCATTGGCGTTCGCATTCCTTAAAATTTTTTTTTCAGGGGGCAATAGAACTCGCATTCGCGGAATGCGAGCTCAATAGAGCTCCACACTAAGTATAATTTAAATTTTTTTGCTTTTTTTTGGGAGCTAGAGAATTTTTTCCAGAAAATAGTAAGAGCTAAATGCGAGCTCCTAAATAAAATTTTTCAAATAGCTTGCATTTGATAAATTGGACCTCCAAAAATTGTATTTAATTTTTTTGTTAGATTTCGCATTTATAAGTATGACTTTCAGAAAATTAAATTCAAACTTGCTAGAAAAAAAATTTAAAATGAAATTTACGAGCTCCCACCAAAATGTAAAATTAACTGTAAATGTTGTTTGTTTTGTAGAATTTGCCTTTACTAAAATGCTGTCGGTAGTAAAATCTTATTTTAAAAGCTCTACTAAAATTTTATATTTCGGAGAAATGTTAGAGAAATGTTATTTAAAAATCTGTAATTACCAGAGGAATAAATTTTTTTTATTTTAAAACTTGCACATGCCTAAAGTCATCAAATATGTGCTCAAAAAAAATCATATTTCTTTTATATTAAACAAAATTAGTAATTGTACGGTTGGAAATACGTTATTTTATTTTTAAATGGTGGAAAAAGTACACATGCATAGTTCTTTCTATTTCATATATCAATATAAAAATAGAATGAAATTGTTAACATGTAAGGTGTTGACTATATTTTATAAATAAAATACTAACTTTTTTTCCTTTTTTATCAAATAAATTTTTTCTATCAAATTCTAATTTTCCTTTGTTATTAATGAATCGTATTTATTTGTTGACACCGATGAATATTAGTTATAAGAATCTAATAGTTAATAGTCAATAATATCTGTTACAATTTCAACTGTAATTTTAGAAATTTCATAACGCGATGTTATTTAAAAAAATTATATAAGTTATTTTTATGAAGTGCATGTTATTTGTTTGGTAGTTGAAAAGGAAAAGAAAAAAAATTAAATCAAATATCTAGCGATTAAATCTTGCGTGTTTTACCTTTTACAATTATTGGTAGGATTACTATTTTGATTAAAAAATAAAGCGATAATCAAGGCAAATTTATTGTCATGCAAAAATCCTAAAACCCTAAGTGTTAAAGCCGTAAAACACTAAATCGTAAATCTTAGAAACCAAATCCTTGTAAACCCTAAAACATTAAATCAAGGTTGTTGGGTTTATTAAAATCCATTAAAAAATATTTTTGCGGCACGATAGGATTACTATTTTAATCAAAAATCTAAAGTCCTAATCAAGGCACACTATTGTCAAACTAAAATCCTACAACCCTAAACCCGAAAGTGCTATTCTCCTAAAACACTAAATCTTGATCTCTAAAACCCTAAAACCCTGAATCCTAAAAGCCTCAAACCCTGAGTGCTATCTCTAATGTAGTCAGTAGCTGAACCAAAGATATGATGTTTTCTTTTGTCTACAACTCATT